TAGTAATATTCCGCCTTTAACATTTGCATATGATGTGTACGTCTACTATCTTATTTGACGTCTAAGTTTATATCGGAGGCAGGCTACTGCCAGACACATCTTTATTGATGTTACAAGGGTTTAAACGACCAAGTTTATAGTCAGCTATTCGTCGTAAATTCAATGGTCGTATCAATGACCCGGTCAACAAATATTTCCTATAATTGGGTTAATTATCCGGCCGTAGTTTTTATACTAGAGTACATAATGTCCCGTTTAAAGTTTTATTATTAGGACTCTCGACGGGAGGAACGAGTCTACGAGGAATGCTTACTCTCTCTGGGCAGCTGATCCCACTCTCTATACGTGGTCATTGGGACAGTATGGGTAATTAATTTCGAAAAAAGCATATTAAGATGGTATACGAGTATGCAATGTTTGAATACTTTATTTTGAAACACTGACATTCAGTTGAAAAGAGAAGATAAACTAGTTAAGGGGGCCGACTGTGGTTTCCATTGCGCAATATTTCGCGCATCATAGTAAAATGAAGTTATTCACTGTTTTCAAGAATTTTTTTTTCCGCTTAATTATTAAAATGAAACAAAATTAGGAAATTATAGGTATGAAAATGTAATTACAATTTTTTATAACTGATTTTTAACCGATTTTGCAATTGATGGGTAGGTTGACGTCGTTACTGTGTGTTTTTGACGTTATGATCAACTGAAGCTCTTGAAGAAAGGCGTTATAAAAATGTTATTAAAGAAAAAGTAATAAACATGCGCTCTTGAATTTTAAAACCTAGAAATTTGAGAATATCTCCATTATTTCTGTTATGTTTTCATATGAGTCCTTTATGCCCGTCATATTTTGTAGTACTCTAGTAGTAAAAACAGGAAAAATCGTTAATTTTTGGCATTTTGAGATGCCCCTTCTGGTAACAAGACGGTAGAATTTTGTGTTTCTAAAATATATTGACGTTACTCGCGATGTTGGTGCCATTTTACAATTTTAGAATCTGACCTATTAAACTCACGGTGATTTTTAAAATATACACGCAATATGGATGATATTGGTATGAATGGATAGATTTTTAACAGAACTACTCGATTCTAGTAAGAAAATAACATTCATATAAATTTTATGCAAAAAGTAGAATTTTAAAGCGCAAAATAAAAGGTATTTTAAGCGTGTAACGCGTTCCTTTTTTTAGCAGGGATCGCGCATTTCTCGTGTGTAGCACGTTCAAAAGTGAATCTAGAATTTTCATTTTCCCTTCAAAACAAGAGCAATCCATTTCGTTTGTGACTTTATTATAGAATTTTTCATTAAATGTTGGAAAGAAATAGAGAGTGATAGTTTTTACAGATGAAGAATCTGTAACGCTTTTAATCAAAAACGTGCATGTCAATATAAACCATAAATTTACTCTTTTACAAGAATTTTTAAATAGAAACAAATTATATCAAAATAATGTGCTTTTCGTATAGATTTCAAATATTTCATTGATGTTAACATCAAATTGCATCCTTTGGAGCTAGTAATTGGATTACAAGTTCAACAGAAAGTCCAGCGTCTAAAATGACGTGCAAAAATAAGACAATGGCTATTTTCGAGTTGTTAAATTCTTTTGTTTTCACCATTGACTACATAAATAATTGAATGTTCATAATGTGCTACTCTATACGGCCAGATTGAATGCCAGAATAATAAATTTACTCCATTTATTAATTTTTTACGCAACATTTAGGAGGTTCAACATATTTGTCCAGTGGACGTTTTAACTGGTAAAATATTCGTTTTGCTTCAACGTAATACATGAAAAAGCGTTTAAGAGTGCTTCGAGTAATTAACAAAATTTATCATATATGTATACAAATCCCAGCGCCCTTTCTACTCATAAGTTTAATTATTAGTAGCCTCTGACTTTTTAAACTCGTATTTCAAGTACAAAGAGGTAGCGATAGAGTACCAGTCAAGCAAGTAACACTATAAGTAGCATTACGTCAATTTTTCTGTAGCGCTATGAAAGCGTAACGTCAAACGTCACCAACATCACGCGTAACGTCATTGTATAATATTTACATTTGCAAATGTTTGCCTTAATATTACACTACTGAAAGGAATGCGTATCTATAACTGTATAAATACAACAGGTACGGGGTCAAGAGGTCATAGATGTGCATATGGATAATCGTTTGACGTAATTTCTCAGTGACGTCATAAAGGATCGCCGCGCGTTCAGTGGACTACATACATGCCGTTGGGTTTGAAAAATAATGCGTTTCACACGTTAAAAGTCACAATCAGGCAAATTTATAGTATGAATAAGTCACAAATGTAAATATAAGTAATAGGGTATCATTTTAAAACATCTATCGGGATATAAATACGGGTTGGTCACGAGATTAAATTCCATAAAGCCCTTCAGGCTTTGTGGAATTTAATCCCTTGACCAATCCGTATTTATATCCCGACAGGTGTTTAAAGATGATACCTTATTTCTTAAATATAGTATAACTCACCAAATATTATAGTTTGAACAAAAAGTCTATTGTAGTATTTGTATAATTTGCATTAAAGGGCTGAAAATTGACATTTTCCTATGTAATCCTATAGTAAATGGGTCTCAGTAAGAATCATGCAAAAGGTGGCACATTGAAAATCTTGGATTTTAATGAAACTTTCCACAATTCTTCGTAATGATGACATATGAAGTCATGCAGAGTAAAAAAACTCAATACCAATGGTTGCTATGGAAAACGACATATTTTTGTTTCCATAGCAACCAGCTGTGTATAGTGTTTTGAAAAATTTTAAAAACTTATTTTTTATAATGGTATAAAAATGAAAATAACACGTTTTAGAACATAGCAACAGTTTATTAAGAAAAGACAAAGGTTTATTAAAGATAAAATTAAATAATACTTTTAAAATACTGTTTTATGGTGTTTGTAGAGGATATCCGAATAGGTACTGTTTCAATGTTTATTCATTTTCTGTAAATTTGACAATTTTATGGTATTTCAAAAGCATATAAATATAATTATCGGAAACGTTGCAAATTCTGTTGCATATATTATAAACAATGATTACAAGTTGTACTCAAAACAAAAATCAAACGAGTCGGAAACACACACAATAATGGTTGCTAGGCAACTCTTTCAGGCAAATTTCTAACACATTCAGACAAGAAAATGTGCAATGTATACGATAAAATGCAGTCATCTTCTTAAAATAGATACACATAATCATGTTAAATGATAATATATTGATCATCTAAATCTGATGAACATATAAAGCTTGTCCATTACACCATAGCAACCAAGTTTCCATAGCAACGCACACAAAATTTCAAGTTTTATGATTACTAGTACTGCAATGAGAATATAATATAAATAGACCATCAATTAATTTTCTACTGACATGAATTTCTCAAAAAAGACTTCAATTCATGTTCAGTCATTTCACCATGGCAACAATTTTCCCTGGCAACAATGAAAATTCAGGTTGTACATTGAACCATAAAGAGAATATAATGCAAAAATGAACCTATACACAATGCAAAAATAATATCACCCCATTTACATGTACATGTATTTACTTGTCAGAAAAATACATATTAACTGATTTAATCATGTCTCCATGGCAACCACTTTTCCCTAGCAACATAGATTAGGTTTCATTTTGTACAGTACAGTAACACTAAAATGAGATTTTAGTGAAATGTTATAACCATAAAATTCTTTATTGAGCCATCTCTAAAATAGTGTTTACTCGCCCTCCACCACACTCAGGGTAAAATTATTGGGTCCGTAGGTAGGTGAGAAATTCTTATGTCCCCATAAATGAAGTTTTGGGGATATATAGTTTTTGTCATGTCCGTCCGTATGTCTAGCTGTCTCTCTCTCTCTATCTCTCTGTTTGTATGCAAAAACTTTAACCTTGCTCATAACTTTTGATTTAGTGGAGCTATGACTTTCATATTTCACATGTGTATTTCTTATGACAAGACCTTTCTTTGGGTACCACCAAATTTGATCTCTTGACCTTGACCTTGGACTTTGACCCACTTTTACACAAAAATTCCAAACTTTTTCTTTGGCCATATCTTTTGAACAGTAGATTATAGGACATTAACTTCACATATGTATTCTTTGTTAAAAGACCTTTCATTGGATACCAACAACCTTGATCTTTTAACCTTGACCTTGGAGATTTCCATACTTTTGAAAAAACTTTAATCTTGGCTATAACTTTTGAACAGTAAGGGTAAGGGCTTTCATACTTTACATATGTAATCCTTGTGAGAAGACCATTCCTATCCAGAACTTTGACCCTTTGACCTTGACATTTGACCTACTTTAAAAAAGCAAACATTGACTAGAACTTTGAAAGGGTTAGGGCTAGTGCTTTCATACTTTACATATTTAATGCTTGTGACAAGACCTTCATTTGGTAGCAAGACCTTTGACCCTATGACCTTGGAGTTTGACCTACTTATTAAATTTTGTATCCTTTGTCACAACTTCTGAACGTTTATGACTTGGGCTTCCATACTTTACATACATATTCCTTGTGGAAAGACCTTTCATTTGATACCAATTATCTTGACCTTTTGACCTTGACCTGGGAGATTTTTGTACTTATGACAAAACTTTAACCTTGGCCATAACTTTTAAATGCTAAGTGCTATTGATCTCATACTATATAAATGTAATCTTTGTGAAAAGACCCTTCATTGGATACCAAGATTTCCAAACTGATGAAAATGTTTTACCCTGGCCCGATTTCATATTTCAGAGCTATATTTCCAGTGAGTTTGCATTTAAGAAAAGTTTAATCTTCGCTAATTTGTTGCGATACGGGGTAATCAGTGTTTCAAAAACACATCTGTTTTTCAAAAAAATTTCAATCATATTTGTTGTCTGGATAAGAGAACTAAAAATAAAATCTTGTCCTGAAGTGTAAAAATTACATGCAAATTTATGCTGACATCAGAAAAATTTAGTGGTCTATATAAGAAAATTATCAGGATTTATATACAACCTCTGTAATTCTAATAATTAATCTGATATACATGTACATAAAGCATAAAAATCTACATGGACATGATCATTCTATAAATCAGTAAACAAGGATGCAACCTCATCTAAGGCCTCAATTTTCTCAACCAGAAACATTGTACTATCTAAATCATCAGTACACTTTGGTGGGATTTTTTTCTCTGCAGCTAACCGTGAGAAAAAGGAATTGATTTGGCTTGAATCCAAATAATCTTCATGATTAAATAATTTTTTGCCATTTTCTTGCACTACTCTCATGTTTTTTGCAACAGCAAGTGAGTTCATCCTCTGACCATTCTTGTCACCTTCGGCAAATATGCATCTAAGGTATGTTTTAACTTTCTCAGAAAATCTAACGTGTTTCTTTTCCTTCTTCAAAGCCCACCCCTGAATTTCATTAGATTCAGCTAAGAGTTCACTGTTGGGATCCAGCAGTGTACTATTACACTGTAGGCTCTCTGATAAATTAACACATATGTCATACCATTTTAGCTTGACTTTATCATACGTGCTCAGCTGCTGGAGGTCATAGTGATGTTCTCCTAACAAGCAGTGGTCATGCATGGCTGTGAAGGATGGAAATGTGTCAGAACACCCATCAGGGCATCCTATACTGTCCTCAGAGTTTCTTTGCTTTATTGAGCCTTCAACCTTTGTAGGCGGTGTGAAGTCTGCGATAACATTCACTGTCCTACAAATTAAAAGTTATATCACAATTAAAATTAAAAAATTCAGCTGTGTTAAAAGATAAGAAAAAGGCATAAATAGAGTCAAACCTCATTGCTCAAAATCAATGGGGATGGGAAAAGACATCCAAATTTTCTTGATATTGAGAGTGAAATACATGATGTTTAAGGTATTTTGGATTTCCAAATCTCTTCATCATATAACAAGTACTTGAGATATCAGTGTTCAAGAAACCCAAGTTCAAACTGTTTACCTTCAACTCCTAATCTGTTAAATCACCATTAAGATTATATTCAACTAGATATTAGCTGGAAAAGGCTTTTGACCTTGACCCTGGACCTAGAAACTTTGTTCAAGGTCACAGCATTTCTATTGACCATTGGCACTTGGTATGATCTTTTCGTTTGACCTAGAAACATGGTTCAGTGTCACTGCACACCCTTTATCTCAAGGCACTCTGTAGGTGAAGTATTGGCCAGATTGGGCCAAATAGAGAGAAGATATGCCATGGACAAGAGATCTTGAAAGGACAAACGGACGGACGGATGGACAGACTGATCACTAAAGGGCTCCCACAGAGCAGGGCCCTAACAATAATTTAACAAATTAGCCTCGGCTGAAATTCTGTGAGATTACATCAATATAATATCTACATGAAGTGTGAACCTTGAATTTGCCAAAATTCCCATCAAAGAAACTATTATTAACAAATACTACTACATTTACATCAATTGCATACATTAAACTAATTTTACAAACCTCTCTTGATTTTTAAGCTCTCCTTGAATAGCCATATCTTTCCCTTTTCCAATGTCATAGGCTCTCCAAACTTTCATACATCCATCATCTTGAAATTCAACATTTGAAATCTTTGATATCCCTTTAATAAGCCCTGTTGAAGAATCTGTTGGGAAACTGTTGATCTCAATGTGAGCTGCTTGGCATCCAGTCACACCACCATACCTATCAATTGCAGATTTCATGTCCGCAGCACACAGCACGTCATTTCCCTCTATTACAGTCTTCCTGATCTTGGCCCTCATATGTGCGATCTTGGCATCGCAATAGGACTTCCCACTCTGTGCCTCACTGAAGTCATATCTTCTTATGGAAATTCCTACCAAAAGTCAAAGCTATTAAAGACATTCTAAAGATCATGATGATACTGATTTTATTTTACTGTAACAGTTTGCATGTAACCAATACATGTTATCTGTAAAACACCTATACACACACCTGTTCTTTGGCTGATGAATGGGATGGAGAGCCAAAGGTTGCTACAATGGTAGCAGCCAGCATTGTCACTGCGCAGAAACACTTCGGTGATCTGGGGCAACTGACTTTTAATGGTCAAAAGGGTGTGTTCCAGGAGAAGAGACACAGCATTCCAGTCCTGTTTGGTAGCCTCAAGGCAATGAGCAAAGGTCCTGTGCTGAAAATTTTACACAATCAATTTTAATTGTTGTTTTGCAACTTTATTTTCATAATGACAAAGGTATTAACTATGACATAAAATAATTTTCTTCTTAATCTACTCACTGATAAAATAAACTAACCTTTAACTCATTATTCTCTGACTTGTGAATACAGACAGACACATGCCAGTTGACCCCCTTCTGCCCGAACCAGTCACTCTGTTTCTCCCTGTAAGCCATAGGGAGAAACTTCATGGCCCAGTCCATCACGATTACGGCTTGTTCTGGCAAAAGACCTTTTAAGAGTTCACTTCTCCCTCTGTCCTGGTTAACTGTTCTTAATATGTGTCTTTTCCAGTCCATGATCTTTCCAAAGGCACAATCAAGGTCTGCATACATATCTGTATATATGTCCGTTGGAATTGCACCTATTAAAGTACACATGTAAACATATTTTTAAAAATTTGCCTTTGTTAATTGTAATGATATCAATTACATATTACTCTAAATAACATTTGTTGTGTGTATATGAGTAGATTCTAAACATTTAAAAATAAGTTATCAAATTTCTAGTAGCTAATATTATTCAAAATAATGTATGTATAATACCTTGCAAAATTTCCATATGTTTTTTAATTTCTGTAAAGGTATCTGGCAATATGGCACATCTGTCGCATTTTAAGTTGTGGGTGTGGTCCGAACACATCTGCTGATAATTTTGGTCTTTGGGATCACTTAGAGCAAAGTTGATACAGTGATCAGCACAAGAGTCTTTCTGTTTAAGATGAGCCTTATAGTCAGTTTTCATGTACAGTTTTGCTGCCAGCAAGTTTTCTCTACACTCTTTCAGGGATGTACTCTTGTCACTATTAGTGATATATGTCTCCATGCTGGTTAGTGTTTCAAGAAGTGTGTCAAACCCTACAGCACCATCTGCTGCAACATTATCCAAACCCTTAAGATTTGTACGTTTCGATGCTGGGCAAGCTCTGAGAATTCTAAACAGGGTAGCTCGGGACAGTGGACTATACTCTGTTTCTTGACAGAAAGACTGGTATATATTTACCAGAGTTGAGTGACAAGCTGTCCTTACAACTTCAGGAACAGTCATGACTTCCCCACTCTGCAAACACATATCCTTTGTACCAAATGCAGTCACCTGAAAATACATGTGTAATAACAGTCAAATTGTCTTTATCACATGAATCATATATTAGGCTCCAACAGCTTGTGAAACAACCATGACTTCCACTCTAACCATATTTTACTCATTTCAATTTAAAATTTAATAACATTTCCAAAGCATTAAATTTCTCTTAAGATTGTACATGGTCTCTTTATATTGCTTTTACCTGGTGAAAAGCTGGACTCAAAAAGAAATCAAGAGCATGTTCCAGTTTCTCTTTATCAATTCTTTGACGAATTAGTTTATCTTTTTCTGGAGGTACAGCACCTGAAATAAATAAAATTTTACTCCATTAAAAAGACATATGATCAGATTTATCCCCCATCAGGGTTATGGAGCAAAAGAGATATACAATGAAGTAGTTTAATACAATTAAATGTGTTACTATATCAAGATTAATTACATTCCCAACATGAGTCTACAGAAAATATTTTAATTTATCCATAATTATAATGTAACTCCACATGGGTTTCTGTGAGGGCTGTACAAATAATTACCTTTTCCATGAGATTTTGCATGTGTTCGAGCTTGGTCAATAGCATATGTACTCAAGCCAGGAACCAGGTCTCTGAGCTTCTGTTTACTGAAGTCAAAGCAAATCATAGAAAGAAGCTGCTTCTTGACATTTCTGTCTGTTGACTCCTTGTACAGATGGAGAATAAGTTCATCAGCCTTTGGAGATGGAACAGAACTCTGAAATATTATAATGCAAAAATTATCAAAAAAGGGAAGGAGAATAATACTGTGCACTAGCCTAATGCCCAAACACTTAATATAAAAATTTGATCAGCATGGTTAGTATAAGTCTGATTGGATAACAAATTTTTTAGCATTCAATATTTGTTGTCAATAATGATTTACACTTATTTTAGTGATAAAAAGACAGCTGTATTTTATTCTCGTCCACTTTTTTTAAGGATTACAAATCATATTGTTATTGTTGCTACATGTAAGAAAGAAGTCTGTCAGTGGTAATGTAATCTAAGTTCAATCTGCTACAATGTGTATGTGAGAAGCATTCAGGGATTTTCCACTGCCCCTTGTAGGGCCGAATATGGGCCCCATTCCCAATTGCAAAATTGCCCCATTTTTCACAAAAATGAACAGCCTGTGTTTAATTTTTGAAAAATTGATGTAAAACACACATGGTCATGTTTGAACCCTTAATGAAATGAAAAAAAAATTTTGAAGACTTTGCTAAAACTTTATAATAATAGATCTATTTTCTGAAGTAAAGTTCTGAATAATGAAGTAAAAAATCAATTTTAACTATCAGAAGTGTTTATTTATTGAAATACATCTTGCTATAAATTTTCCCAAAAAGTTGTAAAATGTCGTAAAATTCCCAATGGTAAGGGCCTGGGCCCCTTTCCCAAAATGGGGTGGAAAATCCCATTTCAGATTTGTCATTGGGGATTCTTCAGGTTATTGAGCAATGTATGGAAAAGGTGGGGAGTTGGAATATGGTAAACTTACCACTTCATTTTCTATCAATTGCAACACTTTTTTCCCTTGCAATGGAGCAAGGCAATCAAGAGCCTCATGAATAGTTGCCTGGGCTTTCCTTTTTAAGGTCCGCAGTGTTCGTGGTTTAAGATCCTCTACATCCTTTCTAATTTGGAACTTGATAGGACTTATTTTTCCATTACCAATGATGTCAAATGCTCTATTAATGTCACTAAGGGAGCGGCTTTGTTCGCAATTTTCTATACTCCAAGATGATATTTGAGAAGATGGACAAGAAGCCTGAAATTATATTTATAAAGTAAACCATATTTTATGGTAACATTGCTCATTTAGATTATCTATGAAAGTATGTCAAGAGCGTAGAATTTGATAGAAAGAAAACTGATCAAATAACAATAGAACTCTGTTAATTGAGACAAAAAATATCAATTAATGTTTTATGGAAATACTAAAAATATGAAAATTACTTTACAAGAGCCCTTGGGCCACAATGCTCATCTGAGTCAAAATGGTCCTGTTCTTCTTTATTATTCCAGGTATCTTATGTAAAACTTTGATCCTATATTGTGCCCCAACCCTTCCCCTGGGAGTCATGAAATGAACATAATGAGTAGAGAAGTTGAAAATGTAAAAAAAGATTTACAGACAGATGGAGGATAAACAAAATTAAGGGATCAGACTTTTGACTCAGATGAGCTAAAATGTACTTGAAATATGACTTGTTATTTATTTTTCTTATAATGATATAATCAAAGAGAAAATCAGTATTACATCATACCGAAAAGTTTTCCGACTCAAATTGTGACATTCTGGTGCATGTTGAATCTGTCTCTAATAGATCCTACAACAAAAGGAGATTTCAGATTTGAGCTTCTCTTTCAATATAACCATGGTTTTTACTATACATTTATACACATGTATTCATACATGTATAGTACATGAATTTAACATTGATTTAAACTTATGTCTTTCTTAAATTTTACCATTTCTGATCATGATACATGTAAGTTTTGATCTTACTTTAAAATTTTACCATTTCTGATCATGATACATGTAAGTTTTGATCTTACTTATGGTACTTAAGCTTCATTTAAATTAATAAAAAGGCCTAAACTACAATTTATAAAGAAACTCCTAATTAATTTAATTGAATAAATTTCAAACTATCATACCATGTGTTCATAGTCTTCACTTTTCTTTGTCTTGTCATCTGACGTTATGTAATCATTGCATGTACTCGAGTCATGGGGGAACTATAAGAAAATATTTCCAAACATCATGAACATGGTATAATTTTTTTTAAAAATGCATTATGCCTCTTTAACATTTATTAATATTTACATTTCCATTTATTTGTCTTTAATATTCCTTACAAATTAGTAATTTATTCTTTTTCTTATGAACTAGCTGCTGCCATGGATGGGCATGAATTACATGTATTTCAATTGTTACGTCATAATATTTATCATCTACACCCAATTTTTTTAAATTTCAATTTTAAAGAAATTGTTGAACAATTTCAACAATTTCTTTAAAATTGAAATCTAAAAAAAAAAAATGGATGTAGATGATAAATTCACACCAAATTATGTATAAATGCATGCTAATAGAAAAATATCTTAATTTGTCTCTTGAAAACTAAGCAACATACAAATTAAAGAGAAGGGAGGTCAAGATCACAAGAAAATGAAAGACGAAAAGTGTTTAATACCATTGAAAGGCTCTCACTAATATGTAGTGGCATAATATGTTTGATAAAAATTTCTTATATATGGTTTATATAAAATTTTGATGAACACTAATTTAAGAAAAGAGGTAAAGAAATATTGATGTAATTGAAAAGCATACATTAGTATATACATTGTATTCCCATATGAAGTTTGATGAGAATATCATTAATGGTTTATCTAAAAATTATATAAAACACTAATTTAAAAAGGTGAGGCCAAGTTCAAAGGAAAATGGGTCCATGTCAGGATAGTGTACTTTATCTTATTACTATATATAGTAAATGGGTTAGAAAAATTTACTTGGGAATGGAAATATGATGAAAACAGTTTAAGTCATATTTACAATAATATTTAAAATAGGTTCATTATGTAGTTAGAAGAAAGACCGATCACCCCTGACTGTTTACATTTGTTTTAAATTTTAAAATGTAAATAACTGTAAAAGGTAAAATTGCTGATGCAACTGAGCTTTGAACTGATATAAACACAGAGTGGCAGAAGTTCAAAAGAAGGACAGAACAAACACTTTATCAGCATATGCCTCTGCCATATTCATGGCAGGGCATAATTTTTTTTTTTATTAGGAATTTAAAAAAAATTAAAATTACTTAGATATCAAACACATGAATAAGTATAACAATAAACTCCATAACTAGTGAATAAAATCATGGGGAATGCAAACTTACCTGATCCTATATTTCGCCGAGACTAAAGCATAACTTGTTCTCAGTGAGATAGGCCTATCACCTTTGCACTTTCCTGTGTGTCCCGGGAAGACACAGGATGTTTTTCTCTTCCAATTTAATCCCAAAGAGCTGCGGTGATAGGGACAGACGGTGAAATATGGAATAAGACAGAAAATACCAACTCGTACACAAATCAACAGTCCTTCTGTCATGTACTTCTCATCATAAGAAATATTCAAAAACCGCAAATGGCCAGAAACTGATCTATTACAATCTTTCAAGTAGACTAACTCTGCACTATCTGGTGAAAATTGGCATGGAGTGTCAGTAAACAAGGAAAGACTGCAGATATGTGTCGTCTGTCCTGAGTTAGGATCTTCGTCTGCCATATTGTTTCTGCTGCTATTGTAACTTCAACGCTGAAGAGTTCCACAAAGGGGGGTAATTTGGGATAAACATACACAGTTTTATTACCCTTCTTTACAAAGAGATGCATGGGTTTCCAAATAATCCATTTCGATAATAAAACACATAAAACCACAAATATTAAGATTTTTAATACCAAACATATGGGTTTAACTGGTAATAGAATATTTTAAAATTTTTAATTTGCATAGATTACATAGGAAATCTGATATTGCTATCCATGTAATAAAAAGTCCAAATTTAAAGTAAATAAACAAAAACAAAAGGTATATTGGGTTTAAATGAATTTGAAGCACCCTTTTGCTAAAAATTAGTTACTTTTTAAATTAAAAATCAGAATGACTTCACACGAATTCTTTTTTAAAGAAGCACAGCTAATGGTGTAACTAACACTTTCATTTTGTCTTTAACTTATTTACGTTTTCGATTGCTAATTAGCAATTGAAAAATGCTAATCAGTGAAAGACAGCATTTTAACATAGAGATACTTCATGAGGTTGCCTTTTGGCAATTTCAATTTTATGTTGTTAACAGTAGTGCCAATTGTTCAAACCTAAAATGCAAACCTGTCTTCAATTGTTGTTGGATCACATGAAGTTGCCATTGAAATGGATGCATACAGTATAACATCTTAAGCTAGCTTCTACAGACAACCTAGTGGTAGTGCGTTCGCTAAGTAATCGACAGGCCCTTGTTCGGTTCTCATTCACCTCAACACGTGAAACATAAGGAGTTATATGAATAGTGATTGTTATTTTAATTTTGCAAGCAGCTATCATTAGGGGTAAATCTCTGGTGAGACCTTAAAAACCAAGGCCCTAGCTGTGTCACGGTGGGCGTTGGGATGATAAAGACTCTCTCCCCCAAAAATAACCCTCAGTGCATAATGAATTAATTAAATGTCTCTGAATTCCCGAAGTACTGTGTTTTTACCCCCAGTACATGATATTCTTTAAACGTCATCTTTAAAATTAATAATATGACAGAGACAAAGAGTATATCTCAGGAAATGCGAATTTAAAAAAATACTATGCATTTTCGAATTACAATTTGATCAACAAACACATATTAGACATAAACATCAGCAGATGGTGTCCAGGCTTTTGAAGAATTTGCTTAATTTTATACATATGAGGTACTTCAAATTTCTTCCATTTACTTTAATCATCTTACAATGTAAAGTGTACAGTGTATAAAGATTTGCATACTGTAAATCACTTTTTAAAAGCGGTTCTAATTTTAGGCCATGTTAATAAACATTGGTATATTTGGTTAGATTACAAAAACCTAATTTTTTGGATATGTAGTTTCAAAATACTTAAATGAGGTTAAAATGGTGACTGTTAATAAGACCTTTCTGAGAACTTCAAAGAACATTGAAGAACATTGAGAGGTATAAAATAAAAAAAAGCGTTGCATGAAAAGATTATCGTGAGGCTTTTTCTAAAATAAAAGAGTTATATCCATTCTTGCTGAAGATCGGAGTACCTTAATATGAGTAAATTTTTAAAGAAGAAGATAACTTCGACTCTTTATTTGCTAATCCAGACTTTTTTCGAAAAGATTTTTCATTATCACCAGAGCTGTCAATAAAAAGTTAAACGGTTACGTGAAACACTTAAAATGTTTAAGAGATTGCTGATTGGATGAAAAAGTGTTATATATAATAATATATATATATATATATATATATATATATATATATATATATATATATATATATATATATATATATATATATATATATATATATATATATATATATATATATATATATATATATTATGCTTGCGGTGATAACGTTCCTTGCCATGTTATATTTTGTTTGTTTCTCAGAAACAACCTTCCTAGCTTGATCATATGTTTTTCCTTAATTCCTGTGTATTTTCTCTCTCAGAATAAAGGAACGAAAAAGGTATAGTTATTTCTTTTTTGAACTTTGATGTTTAAAGTAAAATAAATAACACTGTACAGTAAGGGTTACAAATGGAAATATCGGCGCTTTTGAAGACAGCAATTACATTCTTTATAGGAATGGGCGATTCTTTTTAGGACTTCACTGATACATGTTTAAAAAATTAAATGTAATGTGGTTCAAATCCACATGTTGGGGACCTTTAGACATTTTTCATTGTACAAAATGTGACTTGCTCAGTCTCTCACTGTGTACAAACTGCGTCATTTTTGCGAGATGACGACACATGGACAAGTGCATTGCGATCGAAGCATCGTTTATATATTGTTGTGTAAGATTTAATGACAAAACTGCATATGTAATATACAGCTATCCAGCAGCTTGAAATAACAAATAATTAATTTCATTTTGTGGAATTTTGAATACCTTATATTTTGTGTGACGTCATAATAAACATTTCCCGTACGCCTCCTCACTGAAACCTTAACAGTGCTGCTAAATAGATGAAAGGATTTCGAAATAAATTTAATTCGTACGGATAAGATGCAAAAGTTTTGTTAATAATAATATGTTTTATGCATGCATATATGTGATTTTCCATTTCTGTGGTAAAATTTTATAGTTATTGTAGAATATTTTATGTATATAACAGGTTTCGGTTTTAGCCGGTGTTATGTAATGCATAGTCTCAGGTTTCGGGGTTTTGTGGTGATTAGACGATTGCTTACGTCGCAGATATCACGCAATCGTTATCACTGTGAGATGCTGCAAGTGTTTGTGCACGCCATTTTTGTAAGGAAAACGTGCCCTCCGCAACCACGTACAACCGTCCCTTAGGTTATAAGCTTTACTTTTGAATTTCATCGTTAATTTTTTTTTTCGTGGCCTATTGTTTGTTACCACCTCATTTACAGCTTAAATATTTGATAAATTTGTCTTTTTGAGTTATGTCACGATGTTCTGTTAATTTTGGGGTTAGATACAAATTGTAGAGAGTCATAGGATCTCCAGCATATCATGTGTTTCACTTGTGTCATCAATAAATTACGTAATTATTTACAACAATATTCCTTCTTGGTTCTTTATTCAAACTGAAAAACAACATTGCTGCTTAAAATTTCATTAGTATCATATGGAAGGCATCAAAAGAATTTTGTTCAGTAAGATTATTTTTTTGTATTGTTCTTGTATTTATTCGTGAAATATTTCAAAGTATACACTGTATTCAAACTCCAGAAGGATGTGCTCAAAACAGGGTAACTTAAAAAAACCTATCTTTTAAGTTTTGCATATCCAAATGGTTCCAATAAGATTTAAAGATTTCACTAAATATTGAAAATTATATTATCTAAATGCTTTCAAGATTTTAAAGAGTACTTCGAAGTACATGTAGAAGTTTTCAGGAATAAGAACCTCCCTCTACACTTGTAATGAATGCCAAATTATGTGGGTTTTTGTTTTTTCCTTTAAATTCGTTTGGCAGAGTTGAGTAATAGATATTTCCCCCTTTTTTGTACACTACTAGCTATCACTGCTCTCTAAATAGGTAAAAGTTATTGGCAGGAAATTGTCCATTCTGTGAGAGGAAAGAAATGTTGGAGGGATGCTAGAAATTACAGAATATGACCTATAAGCTACTTAATTAAAACATTTATTTTATTGTATTTAAAATGTACCCTCTTGTTGGTCTGTCTCAGTAGAATGTTGTTTTCAATAATAAAAAGTTATATTCACGCTGATTTTTAATAAGTTGACAGGTTGGTGCATTTTTTAAATAACTGACTCAAGAATATTTAATCATAAGGAACGATTCCCCACCATTTTGTTGTGACTGTGCATATTGAAAGCACATTTTGAATTGAGAAGACATTTTTAGGATGCAGAAAAAATAAAGATATGAATGCATATGTCATTTTTAAGTTATGATTTGAAATTTGAGTCATTCATTTACATTTCAATTAGTTATTACTTCTAACACAATAACTGTTTGTTGTAGAACAGAAGAAGTGGGAAGAATTATCAAAACAGCAATATGGTAGGTATTGAATGATTTTTGATGTCACATTACATTTTGATTGGGGCAGTCTTTAGTTTTGAATTCTTAGATGCACTTACGATTTAGGCATGGTTAGAAATAAATGCATTTTATTGATAGTATTAGCTTATGAAATGTATAATGTTTATTCATACTTTTTTCTGTTTTTTTTTAATATTATAATTTAAGTAATGTCTTTTTTTGGTTTATTTATGATAAATGAAACTTTTAATGCAAATGTTGTAAAATGTATATGATCTCATATATCTGTTTAATTTATTTTCTCAATCTCTTCGGGATATAAAACGAGTTTATACGTGATCAATTGAATCATTTACAGTAAATGGTAAATGAAAAAGAATAAAAAGGCTTTTAAAGTTTGACTACATGTAGTAACTAAACTTAATTTGAATTTCTTGATATTGGTTTTTAACTTACAAGGCAACAGTGCCAAATGAGTATATGGAGCCCAGCATACATTACATCGGCACATCACATGAAACAAAAGTAAGTCATGAGTATAAAAAGGTTGTTGCAGTACTTTTGTTATTTACACTATAAAAGTTTGCAGATTATTCAATTTTGAATTAAAAAAAAACGATGTTAAGATTTTTTTCTGACACAAAGGTATATAAAGCACAAAGTAAAACATACTTAAAAAATTTAATATCGATATCAAATGTATATAAATGAAATAAGGATTATCCCAAAAATTAAATATGAATGAATTCGTACTTTTTAGATAGAATCTCGTTGTTCTATAATGTTAATTCTTTGAAAGAGAATTTTTAAAATCTGAAAAATTATGAAAAAATCCCTTTACAAAGAACGAGGTGTACGTCAAAAATGGAGTTGGGATTATATAGTAAATTGGAAAATCTAATGGTATATAAGTTGCGAAAGTTTGTTTAGTGTTGTTTTTTCTATATAATAATGGAATGAAATTGCAACTAAATATAATTAATTTTTTTTATAAAGACCTAAGAAACAATAAACTTTGTTTATTTTTACCCGATTGACCTTGTTTTTATGCGCCGAACCTTTCGTTTATTGTAAAATCCGGATTGTATGATTGATTGATTGTATACTGTTTAATGTCCCTCTCCAGAATATTTCACTGATATGGAGACGTCACCATTGCCGGTGAAGGGCTGCAAATTTAGGCCTATGCTCGGCACTTACAGCCTTTGAGCAGGGAGGGATCTTTATCGTGTCTTACCTGCTGTGACACTGGGTGTCGGATTATACGGTCTCATCCGAAGGACCGCCCCAATTAGTCGCCTTTTACGACAAGCAAGGGGGTACTGAGGACCTATTCAAACCCGGATCCCCACGGGATGTAAAATCCGGAAATTGAATGTTATTTTCATAGATCGTAAGGACACTCTTTTAAGTAGCTTTATGGAGCTTTCAGGAAGCTGGTTGAAAACAAAAAATATGATACGGAAAAGAGAGCTTTAAACTCACTGTTAATAGGAAGACTCAAATGATGCCTTTAAAAACCATCAAAAAATTAAAACGACGTATCACATGTACTTACCGACCCTTCTTTCTTTTGGCATAAAATGTGAAGATAAAAATTGATAATTGGCCATGTTCAAGGATTTAACACTAAATTGTCAAACATATACATAATACATATATTCATAAACTCTAATGTCTACGGACTTATAAATAAGTTTTACAAAATATATAAAATTATATTGTTTAATTAAATATGGTTGAAAATATGGAAAACGTGGCTCTTTTTTGTGTAATTAGAGGGAAAAAAATATAATTTTACTGAACTTTGTGACATATTTTTCCTTTTTCAGTGGCATGTATATAATAATACAGATAATTGTAATCAAGTATAATCAAGCTAAAATTGCAAGCATCGGAATTTGATGGTAGTCACGCGTGTCAAACAAGGTGAAAGAGTTATACACAGGGACTAGTAGCTAATTTAAATGTCAATCAATTTCCTGTACCTAATGATCAACCTTAATTGACTTGATTGACGGAGAATACAGACCAGGTAAATCTGAAGGCGGTGCTTATTATTATGGGCTTAATTTCTTCTCGTCGATGGGTATTATAATGTCCATCTCGATGTTAGGAAAAAATTGCAAGTTTCTGCAATAACCTCTATGAACAATTACACGAAATTACGAAAGCTACGAAGCCATTTCTTATAAGTATTGGAACGGCAAAAGTATTTTTCTTTCATATTGTTGGATTTTAAACTAAAAAATTTGATACTTTGTTTAAAATGAGTTCTGGTTTTACCGATTAGGAAACATATTCTGAAGATTATGCTACTATACCAATACAGCAAGACACTCATGCCGAGCACCAAACTCTTGTAAGTCACTATGATGTACATGATATCATTGCTTATATCTTCTGTTTTCTTTAAAGCATAAGAATGGTTACAATGCTTTCATGAATTTGGATTACTACAATTGCATCTTCTTGGAGCTCCAAAAATCATCATCAAGCACAACTCATATATGCACTAATATTTATTAATTTTGCTTAAGCCTTATATATTAATGTTTTGATAAACGTTTTGTAACTAAGGAGACATAAAAGTGCCTCAGGGCATAATAATCACCATCTGTGGTTTTCTTGGGAAAATAAAGTTTTGTGATACCACCTTTTAATCTGGATAATAGATTTACCTGATGATGAAGTCAACAGACCCATTTAAATCAGAATTATCGATTTACCTTATTAATTCTGATTTTATCTACTTAGATAATTTTGTAATGTGTGTGTATTACTCAATCTACATCATACGCCCGCTGGAGAACTCCAAGGTGTTTGTTATTAATTTTTGCGAAAATAATGCTCTCTCCTCTAAAACATACTCATTAGGTTAAATGATTAATTGATTGATGGTGTATTGTTTACTCCTTCTCGAGAATTTTTCACTCAAGCGGAAACGCCGCAACTGGCCGCTGGAGAGCTATTAATCTGTCCGTTACTCGGCACTCAGGGACATTGAGCAAGGAGAGATCGTTTTCCTACCAGCACCCTCTGTGACACGGAACTTGGGTTTATACGGTCTCATCCGAAGGACTGATCTCAACTTCCAACGACGGGATTCAACCCACGACGTAAGGATCAACTTCTTACTTCGCGACTCTTTAGGAGACGCTCTAACGACAGTGCAACGCATACGATTTAGATTAAATGAAACGTTTTGCAAAATTATTTACAAAAAACCTTCAGCACGATTAAAGGCTTATGTTTCACAATTAGAAATGAAACATATATGAATCATTCAAACTGCACCGCTTAATACTGTAAATCCCGTTATAATAAACTTTAAGACATAGACCTGTTTTACCTAACGTATTTTCAAGGCAATGCACTGGAGTTTGTATCGGCGCATCGCCACTTGGGTATATTTTTGTCACAAAATCTCAGCTGGCCTGAATATATAGATAGTATTGTTAATAATGCCTATAGGAAATTGGGGTTATTGAAGAAGTTGAAATTTTCAATCGGTAGGAAAATCTTTCTCTTTTGTATACAAGATTTGTAAGACCTACACTTGAATATGCTTTAATAGTCTGGGATGGTTGCTCTTTATCTGTTGTAGAAAAACTTGAAAAAGTACAGTTAATGGCTGCTAGAATAGTTACTGGTCTTCCGATACTAGCTTCAAGAGAATCACTCTATTTTGAAACAGGATGGGTACCTTTGAAAAACCGTCGTTACCAATCTAAAATGATTACAATGTTCAAAATTTATAATTGTAATGTACCGGAATATATATAAGATATAGTCCCAAAGAAACGAGAACACACATCAAGATACAATACACGGAATAAGGATCAATTAACTATACCAAGAGGCATGTTAGAAATATTTAACAAGTCGTTTGTACCTGATGCAGTTAAAAAAATGGAATCTATTGAATACAGATACAAGGGAAGCCATCTCAGTCAATTCTTTCCGTAAGATTATAAGTGATAATAATCCTAAAGCACCATCATATTTTTTACCTTAAGGTAGGACAAAACACCCGTGGTTTCTATTTTAACCCATTTCTTAAAAAAGTACTGGAGGAAAAAAGAGTTATATTACTATACTGACAACAATGAATGATCCCTGAAAGAAAAATTAATAAGTTTTGGCAAATTTGCGTTATATTTTGTGAAAAAATAAGAGAATCCTATATATTGGTCATTTGGGAGCTTACATTTTGGAATGTGTTTACGCTACCTAAGTGCAATAAACAAGCATGTAATATAAAATGCAGTGCAACTTTTGTTCCATAAATAGTAGATGGCTGATATTTGGACATATATATAAGAAGTCTCTATTCTTTATGTACTACAAAGGTCAAGGTCATGTCAAGAGGTCAAAGGTCATATATTGTGACGTCATCTACTGAATCTTTTAGTTTTTTGTCATTGAATTTTTTTTAAATCACCAAAATATCTGAAACCACCGGTTCAATTTTCTTTATTTTTACACATTTTATTCTAGGACCCCTTTGAATCATTCTTTTAATTTTTTGTAAAAATTGAATTATACATTTTCTCTTAAGAAAACTTAAACTGTCGGATATTTACATGTGAATTTTCAGTTTCTGACACAATGTATGTTCTTTATTACTTAATATTTTACTCAAATTTTCCATTATCAATGTGACTTACTGATTTAAAGTAACAGAAAGGTTATCTTTATTAAAAGTATTACACAAATTTGCAATAGATCAATAGAAAATTCTAAAATAAGGCTCATTCTCAAGTCGAATGTCTGATTTCACAAACTTCTTACAGAGGTCTGAAAGGCCATATTTCAGACTGTGTGGGCAAAAAATGTGCGGTTGAATTTCTTTCATATCATATATAAAGAGAGATTCTGTATCCAAGAACAAAATATCAAAGTTTCAGAAAAATTGAATTTGAGGAAAAAATTGACCTATCTATTTGGTCCTACCTTAAGGCACAACTGTGTATTGAACCAGACTTATTCAAACGTAATATTATTGATAATCCCTATTGCTTTTGTGGTAAACAGGAAGATGCCTATCATTTTTTCTTTGTTTGTAAAAATACTGTAATGCTCGAAGTAATCTTTTTGACTATCTTTTTCGACTTGATTTAAACATCATAGATGTACACCTACTGCTATTGGGCAACGAAAATCTCTCAATTGAAGTAAACATTGGCATTTTTGCCGCTGTTCATAAATTTATAAATGAATCCTGTAGATTTAGCTAGATATATTATTGACTCTTATTTGTACACGTTTTGCTACTATTTTGCAAGACAATTATTATGTGTTTTTTAAGGAGAAGAACTAGTAAGTTGTTAGAACTTGTTTCTTATCCTTTTGCTTGTCAATAAAATATGTTCAAAACAATAAACTGCAACAAAGGAAGTTTAGATGTTAGGACACAATAGTTGGAATTCTTCATTTTTTAAAAGTTTTTATCTCAGAGGTTTTTGTATTAACACATTTTCTGTAAAACTGTGTCCAAGAAAATTGACTTCCTTCTACACACTTATATACTTCTAAGATTGTAACTTCAAATTAACACATTGCAACCCATCTTTCTCTATATTAAAGCTGGCTAAATCTTGTAAAAAAAATAAAACTCGGCTTAAAGCAGTTATAGCATCAAGAAGTAAGACGGTCTCAATTTACTGCGATTTGGTACAGCAGGTGCTTGTTCTATTTCGCGTTAAAAAGTAGCCAGGGTATACAAAATACGAACGACATAACTCTCTGTTGGTACAAACCAAGGAGTAACAAATTCTTTTGTTTCTTTTTTACATTTCTCTCTCATTGGAATCTGAAGATACGCCATATTAAGATCGCGTGATGAGAATCAATTTGATCCTGAGATCATAAGTGTTGGATAGTGATGCAAACACGTGTAACACACAATATGGCTGAATCCGAACTACTTTATTGGATTATTGCGCAATGTAATTTAGCATCAAATTATAAGCAAAAACCAATTATGTAAGATATAGCAAATTCCGGAAAAAGATATAACATATCCTCCCTCTTTAATGTCAATGTCCGTAATATCTGCTAATGCCTTGATCAACTTAATCAAATGTAAATCAAAATTAATTAACAATCAAACTTATAATTGACTTACAACATAATTGAAGAATTCAAATTCATGCTATTACAATTATTCACAAGGTGAGGATTATTATGCCTCAAAACACAATTAACACAAATAAAGATCATTCGGCAATCAATTGCTTTGTTGGTTTTCGGTCGCACACAGGGTAACGTCGTTCGCAAGGTGGTGATGTCTGTGTAACAATCTGTTTTGGTACGACCTGAGGTTTGCCTCCAGTTGAACGGTCTGCGCAAGGTATGTTACGATTGGTACTTTGTGTTGCACGACTTGGAATTGCCGGTGTCCCAGGTGAAATGGTATCGTTTGTAGGTGGTGCAGCGTATATCTCATTCGGAACTACTGACTTAGAATCTAAAGTGTCCATAACTGTTCTCTCCTTCATGTTTTCTGAAGTTTTCCTCATTTGATCTACGTGACGACGCCACACTCCTCCTTCATCTGTTTTGACCTGGTAAGTCAACAGTCCTAGACTGGCTATAACAGTAGCATGAATTCACGGTGTTTGTCTCCGGTAGTCTCGTACCATGAAGGATTGTCCATTGGTAAAAATGCGCACGCTGGATCCTGTATGTCTTGATAGTTTCATGTTGTCCTGTTTCAGATGTACTCTGTCACTGGTGTCAGGTTTCAAGAGATCTAAGCGTGTCCTGAGGTTACGTCCAATGAGTAACTTGGCAGGTGTCTCCCCTGTAGTAGCATGTGGAGTAATGCGATAAGTCATGAGGAATGAGTTGATTTCCTTGTTAGTGACTTTGTTATGCTTCTTCATGGCAGTTTTGAAACTCCTAACAAAGCGTTCCGCAAGTCCATTTGTACGGGGATGATAAGGTGATGATGTCACATGCTTCACTCCATTTTGTCGCATGAAACTCTTGAATTCATCTGCAATGAATTGTGGTCCGTTGTCGAAATCTAATGTTTTAGGTAGTCCGAGACGTGAGAAGATATCTCGTAAAACGTTGACTGTTGCTGTAGATGTTGTTGAAGACATAGGCACAACTTCCGGCCACTTTGAATGAGAGTCAACAACAATGAAGTACATGCGTCCTTTAAACGGTCCAGCAAAATCAACATGAATTCTCTCCCATGGTGAATTGGTCCATTCCCAAGGGGGTACAGGAGCAGTCTCGGGGCTTGGTAAGTAATGTTGACAATCTGAACAGCTTTGACACAAAGCCTCAATATCAATATCAATGTTCGGCCACCAAACATGAGATCTAGCGAGACTCTTTGTCCTCACAATCCCTGTGTGACTTCTATGAAGTTCAGACAAAACTTCTCTTTGTAGTGCTGTAGGAATGATGACTCTGTTTCCCCAAAGTAGACAATTTTGGTGCACTGTGAGTTCCATATGTCTATTTCTGTAAGGTTTGAATTCATTTCCCGAGGGAAAGTCCCGTGTACCTTGTAACACAATGTCAAGCACCTGAGATAAAATAGGATCACGTTGAGTCTCTTTTCTCACATGGTCACATGATACAGGTAAGCTTTCAAACTGTGACGAGTAGTAGATTGTGTCGATATCCTCATCTGTGGTATCGGTTATCGATGAAGTCAGCGGAAGTCTTGAAAGTCCGTCAGCGTTTCCGTGGTTAGCTGTCTTCCTGTACTCTATGCTGTAATTATGACTAGAAAGGAATATAGCATATCGCTGGAGTCTAGCAGTAGTCATGGCGGGTAGTGATTTTTCTGGGTGAAAAATATTAACAAGCGGCATATGATCTGTAATCAGTGTAAACCGGCGTCCATAGAGGTAGGTATGGAATTTTTGTACTCCCCAGTATATGCCTAATGCCTCCTTATCTATCTGTGAATATCCCTTCTCCGCCTTTGTCAACGAGCGAGAAGCAAATGCGATGGGACGTTCAGCTCCATCCTCAAAGACATGTGTAAGTACGGCACCAATGCCGTATGGCGATGCATCCGTAGCTAAACGAACAGGTAATGAAAGGTTGTAGTGGCACAAAACTTGTTCTGATGTGATAAGTTCTTTCACTTTCACAAATGACTCTTCACATTTGGATGTCCATGTCCACTTCCTGTTGTTCAGTAATAACTCATTTAGCGGTCCAACTACTGTAGCAAGGTTTGGCAGAAACCTATGGTAGTAATTCAACAGTCCCAAGAATGAGCGCAGTTGAGACACATTTTCAGGTTTTGGTGCATTACTGACAGCATTTATTTTGTCACTGGATTTATGTAAACCATCTTTGTCTATTACATGTCCACAGTAACTTATTTTGTCCTTAAAGAATCAACACTTTTCCAGATTTGCCGTTAACCCGTGTTGTTCGAGTCTCTCAGGCATAAGACTGAGATTCTGTAAGTGTTCTTCATCTGTTGAGCCTGTAATAATCATGTCTTCCAAAATGCATTTAGTTTTTGGAATGTTTGCAAGGACTTGGTCCATGGCTCTTTGCCAGATAGCAGGAGAGGAAGCGATTCCAAAGGGAAGTCGATTCAAGCGAAAAAGTCCCTTGTGCGTATTAATGGTAAGCAAGTTCTTTGATGCATCATCCACTTCCACCTGTAAATACGCCTGTGTCAAGTCAATTTTGCTAAATTTCTGTCCTCCGCTCAGGGACGCAAAAATATCTGCTATCTTTGGTAATGGATATTGTTTGATTTTCAATGCAGGATTAACTGTCACTTTGTAATCACCACAAATTCTCACTTTGCCGTTTGCCTTGGGTAGGGGTACTATTGGGGTTGCCCAATCACTAAACTCGATAGGTGAGATGACGCCTTCCTGCTGTAATCTGTTGAGTTCCTCTTCCACCCAAGGTCTGAGGGAATATGCCACTTCTCTGGCCTTGTAAAATTTTGGTCTCACACCATCCTGCATTGTAAGTTTTCCTTTGATGTCCGACAGTTTTCCGATTCCTGGTTCAAACACTTTCTTATGTTTCTCCAGAACTTCCTGAACAGTCATTTTCCCGGAAATTTTCTGTTTGTCACTCGATAATCTAATTGATTTGATTTCCTTCCAATCAAGTCGTAGAAATTTCATCCAGTTTCGTCCCATGAGTGTTGGTCCTTCCTGCGTCAGCAAAGTAAGTCCAAATTTTCACTGTCCATTCAAATCGACCTTGACCTGCACTTTACCAACTGGACAGATCTGCTCCCCACTGTAAGTCTTTAAACGAGTATCTGTATCCTCTAGGGTGTATGACTTAAGGAATTTGTCCAACGTAGTTTTAGAGATGATTGACACAGCAGACCCTGTGTCAACTTCCATAGGAATGTCAGATCCTGCACTTTTCGGAGTCACAATGATGGGGTCTATCGAGATCTTGTTCACATCTCTGAAGTAGCTTGAGAAATGCAGCAGATAACCACCATTATCTTCATAGTTGTCGATTCCGTACTCATCTGTGTCAACGTAATTTAGTTTTCCCCCATTTTCACGCTTCTTCTTAAGACATACTCTCTCCAAATGTCCAACTTTTGAACAATACCTACATTTTGTGTTTGTGTGTTTACAGTTATTTGCTCTGTGTTCCCCTCCGCATCTGTAACATTTTTCCTGTACTGGCTTGTGTATTGTTCTGGGTTTCATTTTACCATAGTTCGTTTTCTTTGTTTTATTCACAGAAAGTTTATTTACACTTTCACGTTTTCCCTGTAATTCTAGTGCGTCGCGACTAGCCGTTTCCGTGGCGACAGCTGTCTGAATGGCTTTTTCTAAATCCAACTGTGATTCGGCAAGTAGTCGTTTCTGGATGTGTTCCTGCTTTAAGCCACATACAAATCTGTCTCTCAAAGTCTTACTCAACGAATCCCCGAAATTACAGTGTATCGCTAAAAGACGTAATTCTGCCATGTAAACTGTCACACTCTCCCCTGCAGCCTGATCTTGTTTGTGAAAACGAAAACGTTCAGCAATTTCTGAGGGTTGGGGCTTAAATGTGCTGTAAGTTCCTGAATGAGTTCGGCAAATTTCATAGTAGAGGGCTTTGTGGGTGCACATAAATTTTCAACAATCTGTAGTATTTCGGGCCGATGATAGAAAGAAGTGAGGGTACCTTCAGATCGTCGTTCACATCGTTTGCAATAAAATACTGGCCCAGACGTTCTGTATACGACCTCCACGTTTCCAACGATTCGTCGCAAGGTCCCACTTTTCCGATGATGAATGCCATGGCTCATTGATGATTCCGTTTTCACTCCTCGTCGCCAATTTGTTGGATAGTGATGCAAACACGTGTAACACACAATATGGTTAAATCCGGACTACTTTATTGGATTATTGCGCAATGTAATTAAGCATCAAATTATAAGCAAAAACCAATTATGTAAGATATAACAAATTCCGGAAAAAGATATTACAATAAGCTACTCTCAGAACTGGATATGAATTCCAAACTGTGTTTGCATTCAGTCTTTTATCCTCGACAAAGTCCCCATTTCTTGTCTTTCTTAATGATGTTTAAAGAACATACATTTGTTCCGTTTCATATTTAGTTTTTATTGATTAAGCATGGCAATGTTCTCAAATTATCAAATAAATTTGCTCCATGTATCCGCCCTTTAAAATACAATATTGTCGAAAAAGATTTCTTTTTTAAAGTATGTCAATAGAAATGTTTTTTTTTCGAGAAAGAAGTCACAAAATAGTCCTTGAATAACTTCGACAGGGCGGGAATTCAAATTAATCTTCAGTAAAAGCTTAATATGTACAATGTACGTACATGTACTTGCTTTTTTTAAAACTCAAATTGAAAAATATTTGAAAAAGGGATGGATAGACATCAACGTTAAGATTCATAAGATTTTGTTTCGGTCACCAGATTTGAAGAAGGCAAAAGTATCTTTGTATTCTTATCCAGGTTTTGTTTTAACTTGAGATCCTCTGATCTATCCACAAAAGAAAGAAGAATTTTTCAGTTGAATTATCAAATCACTGGGTTTTTTTGTTTTTATTTATGTGATGCCCATTATAAAAACAGATTTTCTGAAAAGAATTGCAACTTGCATGTCAACATAATTATCTTGTATTTTGACGTAATTTATCTTGCATGTTGGCATAATTTATCTTGCATGTTGACATAATTTATCTTGCATGTTGACGTAATTTATCTTGTATGTAGGGGCAGAAATATGCAACCATACAATGAGTCTCAGGTAAATGCCTTATTGAACAATATTTGATTGAAATTAGGATAAATACATGCAATATTATAATATTCTACAGTCCGCTCGTCTTGAACAATAATTTAATTACCTAATCTATTCCTTAATTAATTAACAGAAACACCGACATTTTTTTCCAAAGCGCTTTTCATTATCGATTTCATTGTTTGAACTATCATTTTTACAGTTTAAAGAAAAAACACCGGCCTCGGGCCCTAGGCTAAAGGGTGACTTTAATACAAAGAGAAGGCAGCATAAACCCTCTATGAATTCCAAGCTGAAAATACGAATAGCCACGTTTATCATTGTCAGTTTGATCATTTGCTTGTCCATAATCAGTACAATGTTTGGACTTCAGAGAGATGGATATAATGGTAAGGCAAATGTCCTAATCAACATATTATTATTTTAGTGATAAATGAAAATAGGCCTTTATCTGATATAAATAAAGAAAAATAGTTAAACAACAATGTCTTACATTGCAACAGGAAATGAACCGTATGATGAATATAACAGGTGAGTTTGTAGGTACGGGAGTGTTTCCTTTTCTTTCCTTGTCTAGTAAGCTTCAATAAAAGGAAAATATATGCTTGCTGGGTTATATTTATTGCCTGACGTCGCGGCGTCAGGCACTACTAAGGATCAATATTTCCTAGGTGCGAAGCTAAGAGGTAACGGTTAGCCAGCAAAATTTTGTACATGCTGATTATCATCTGATTTTGTTACATGCGTTTCAGCAACAACAGTTAGCAGAAAAAAATAACCATATTGCTGATACAATACATTGATGTATTTATTTCCTTTAGCTTTATGCTAACAGATATTTGTTTCATGCGAGTTCTTATACAGACATGTCCGTTTGACCTTTTTTCTGCGTTTCTATACTACTGCATAAGTCCATTTGTCTTCTAGTTAAGGGGTGACACAATCATTTCGCGCCAAAATGTCACGTGTAAGTTTTACGCCCCTTTCCTGGAGTATTCTATTGAATGGAAATGAAACTGCATGAATTATATAAAGTCTGTTCTTTTTCGTCGTAATCCTGGTCGAGCTTTGGGAAAAAAGACATATCGGTGATATTGTTAAGTGAGTTAGAAGTTACATCATTTAAAGTAATAAAAACGAAACGAACAAAAACCTCTTAAGAGGTGGGTTTCCTCCACAGATTAAAGACTTATGAAAGTGTGCTCTCACATTTCAGGATTGAGAAAGTTTATTACTTTCTTGCTCGTACAAATATTTTTGATGTGGACCCTCATCCCTGGGAAAAACTTCCTGAATCTGCACCTGCCGCCATTCATATATATTATTTATCCCACGTTTACAACAATCTCTTATGCTCTGGCATACCCAAGAAACTATTAAACATATTCTGCATGTCAGTCATAACTGTTACGATTCCAAACTTGTAGTTATCATATTTTCAGCTGTCTTCCTCAAAGCGTATGCCGTATGCAGTTGAATCTAATTTATGTAATCTTTACATGTAGCCATGCTTTCCAGCATTAATCAATTACATTTAGTGTTTTCCCTTAATTATTTACTTCATCCTCTTAAACCATTTTTAGACTCGCGGAGTGAGGTGTTCATCTTTACGTCGCTGGCTGGAATCTACAGCGGGACATGTACACTAATTCATTTTTTTATTTGAGATACAAACAATATATACATTTTATATAAAATGTGTTTTTTTTCCATAGCTCTGATGAGTATCATACAAGTTGAATGGATGATGTTTTGTGCAACATCATCATAATTTACTCTTGAGAAAAAATTTACCCCCCCCCCCTTTTCCCCCAATGTAAATGTTTATAGCTTATCATGCTTATAGGTTCTATAGATATTGATGGCATTAGTCAGGCAAGCTTTTTAAAAAGCTGTTACTTGTTTGTATAATTTATGCTTTTCAGAACAAAAGCAGCAATTGATCCGTTTGCAAAATATAACAGGTGATTTACAGTTCTTTAACATTTTTTGTTAACGACGTTGGATCCTGATATTTAAAGTCTTAACTTTTTTTGCCTAGTATATTCTTAGCTTTTACATACATAGCTTAATTAAAATTCAAATCAAAAAATGGGGGTTAATATACTTCTTTTGGCGTTACGGTACATCTAATTTGACCTTTTTGCACTGAAATTTGTGTCTTATTTTAAAATTACATCTTCGACGTTTTCCCTCCAAATTTTTATCCAATTAAAGCAGGAAATAAAATGAACTCTAAGTCTATTTTTAAAAAAGACACTTTAAAATTTTAACTAAGAAAAAGTTTCATATTGCTTCGCATAATCAATTATTTGACATTTCTGCACTAATAAAATGTGACTTTTCTGGAAATGAAAATAAATTTAAATAAGCAAGAAAATTATTTTAAAGTTTTTAACTTTTTCTAAATTTATAGGTCAAAGTTATCTTAAATATTTAGAAAAGAACATCAAAAGTGGGGAATATGATGTGAATTTTCAGATATAACGAAAAAAGTGTCAATTTTACGCTAAAATTGGCTCAATTTTTCCCGGATTTTCAGAATATATTTACTATATTTGTCATATTTCGTTGAAAGAATCCGTAAGAAATAATTAAATACATATTACATTACCAGCATAACACATTTCACTGCAAAAGACAGCTTTGTGCGCAACCAGCATGAAAAAATAGGAATCTAAAATTAACAGTTCTGTTAAAGTTCAAAAGGGAAAAACTGATCATTTTCTCATAAAAAAAACCTTCCTCCACAAGATATAGTTCCTAGCTTAATTCCACTTGAATGGAATTTAATCGCGGTTTCTTCATTGAATATAGTTCAATTTGCATTGTAGAACTCAGATTTAATGATAGAACTTAAAAATGATGCAGAATTTTATAGATAAAGGACAGGACCAAAACCCGCTCAAAAGCTCAGGATCGAACATCCTTAAAAATGTTTTCTTTGCTTAATGTACATGCTGAATACATTTGCAATCTTTTATTTCTAGATGATCAAAAACAGTCACTTGAAGAAAATGCGAACCGTTTTAAAAATGTAACAAGTGAGTTTTCTCTGTTGATAGGGAAATACCTTCTTTGTTTAATATACAAGTACACCTGATATTAATTTGAGATTAAATTTATTTGTATACCTCCTGCTCTTCAGAACGAAACCGATCTTTAAAGCAGCAGTTGATACGCTTGGAAAATATTTTTCTATACAGTTTTTTTTTAAATTTTGTTAAAAAATTGTTTTCTTTGCTCAATGAATTTGCTAAATACATTCATTTTTGTAATCTTGTATTTCTAGACGAATAAAAGCAGTCACTAGAGAAACATTATTTACTGTTTATCGAAAAATGTTCAATACATGTACTCCAGATATTAATTGAAGCTTATAATTCCATACAGTGATTCAAAAATAAATTGATCAATGCATTGAAAATATTTTTTTTTTTGGCTTCTGAATCAATCTAGTGAAAGGATTATACGTCTTTATCCAAAGAATCAGAATGCTGAAATGAATAATTAAGCATCAGTGATATATATCTAGTAACAAATACATCGTTGGAAATATAGAATCCAAGCATTTTTTAATATCCATTTATTATAATTGTTTGCAAAAACATAAGACCTTGATAAACAAGAAATCATTTCAAATTTGTAATAAATACATGTACTACCCTCAGCTAATTACCGTGACAACATTGAAATACATATAATAAATCTATGTTTAAAAAAGATAGTAACTTCCTCCCATATGTAATTGACTGGAGAGTGAGAAAAAGAGAGAGAAAAAATGATTGGTTATTGGTGGGATAATCAATCACAAACTATATCTTATCATTTTTAACAGAAAATAACGAGGATCTGAAGAAGCGAGTGAATCGTCTGAGCAGTCTTTCAGGTGAGATTTCCTACTTTCCTTTCTCTCATCTTTCCAAGTTTGCTGATAAAATATGTACTTTGTAGTTCACCTGAGCCGAAAGATCAAGTGAGCTTTTCTGATAACATTTTGTCTGTAGTCGGTCTGTTCGTCCATTCGTCCGTCTATAAAGTTTTTACATTTTAAACTTCTTCTCAAAAAACAAATTTACCACAAATCATTCTTGGGTGAAGGGGATTCAAATTCAAATAAAGGGCCATGCTCTCTTTAAAGGGGAGACAATTAGGAAAATGTGAAATTTTGGTGATATGTTTAAAAAATCTTCTTCTCAAGAACCACTGGACCAGAAAATATGAAACTAACATGGAAGCATCTTGAGGTAGTGTAGATATAAGTTTGTTTAAATCATGACCCCGGGGGTAGGGTGGGACAAAAATGGATGATCAAAGTTTTAATTAGGACTTACTTAGAAAAATCTTTAAAAATCTGCTCAAGAACAACAAAGCCATAATAAGTCATATTTATAGGGAAGCATCCTGAGGTAGTGTAGATTAAAGTTTTTTCATATCATGACCCCCGGGGGAAGGTTGGGGCCACAACAGACGATCAAAGTTTTTCATAGTAATATATAGGAAATATATTTAAAAATCTTCTCATAAACAACAAACTCATAATAGGTCATATTTATAGGGAAGTTTCCTGAGGTAGTTAAGATTCACGTTTGTTCAAATCATGACCCCGGGGGTAGGGTGGGACCAAAATGGATGATCAAAGTTTTGCATAGGAATATAAAGGAATTTTTTTTTAAAACTACAAAGCCATGATTGATTTTACTTGTAAGTTCGCATCCGCAAGTAATGTAGATTCACGTTTGTTCAAATCATGACCCCTGGGGTAGGGTGAGGCCAAAATGAAATTTTCAAACTTATAGGGAAAAAACCACAATATATTAAAGAAATATGTGAGCATTCTTCGTTTAGATAGTATAGATTTACATTTATTCGAATTGCATCCCCGTTTTAGGAGTAGGTTAGGACCACCTTTACATTACAGATTTTAATACTTGATTGATTTTTGCTTCTTTCCAAGCCACAGTTATCAGGTGAACGATGTGGCCTGATGTTAAAAATGCATTTGCATTTCCTGATATTTACAATAGTCAAAAAGATTCAGCATTTCCTGATATTTACAATAGTCAAAAAGATTATGAAATGGTATTTAATTTTCCAGAACTGAAAGCTCAAATTTGCTTACCTGATTACATTTTATCCGGCGTCCGTATGTCTGCTCGTGAGGAATTCAACTTTAAAGACTTTTTAAGAACCAATAGTACTGAGTTGTAAATTGAGTAAACCTGTCATTCATTTACCTTAGGTAAAAGTGACTAAATTTTATTCATATGTAAAGCCACACACAATTTATATGGTAGAAAATTAGATAAAAAATTTGCGTTATTAGGGGCCGTAGGGGATAAATGCTAAATCTGATACGCTTTTATCTCAAAAGTGTTTAATAATTACACGAGCTTTACTAGAAATTAATATTTTTCTTTTAATTGTTGTTTAACGTCCTCCTCGAGGAGGTTTTACTCATGTGGTAACAACACCCTTTGTCGGTGGAGGGCTGCAAATCTATATATTTATTCGGCACTCAGGTTTATTATGCAGTGAAGGAACTTTTTTATGCCTGTATCTACTGCGACACGGGACTTCGATTAAGTACAGTCGTATCGATAGGACCTTTCTCTACGCTCCGCAGTGGATTCAAACCTGCGACATAAGAATTAGCTCCTTACTCCGAGCCACGAGAACAGACCCTCTGGCCACTGCACAACGCAGGCGATAAAATATGTTTCGACTAATATTCTTTTCAATTTCTTGTTTTCAATTTTTACAAAACGTTACAGTTAAGGACTGATAGGATTGACCCTTAAATATTTCTTTTTCTATATACCTCGAAATAGCTACAGAGAAGTAATTTCTAAATGATTTCAAAACATAAAATGTTCAGAATTATTGGAAAAATTCTTATTTCTATGACGTCTAGCAGAGTTAAATGTCTTAAGTCTCTGGTTCTTTAGAATGTTTAGTGTATGTAAGAAATTTTTATAATCTTTAAATTAAAATATACCTTAATGAATATCTCAATATCAAAAACAAAATGAAAAATCACTCCTTTCAAAAACAAGACGGAAAACCTAAACGTTTCTCGCAAGGAGATTTTATCTACATTTTGTAGCTACATGTATCATTATTTTACCCCACCTCTGTTGACTTTTTCCGTGAAATCCTGGCTTACGATTGGTTGAAGTCTGTCACGTGAAGGTGGTGGATTACTTATACCCGGTCAGTTGTAAATCTATACCCGGTCAGTCGTTGGTCTATACCCGGTCGATGTATTACGTCACAAACACAAACGTGACGTCATAATAGGCATAGTATAAGGGTGATGAAGCATTTAGCAGAGAAAAACATTTATAAACTACAGATAAAACGTAAATGTTTCATCGGTGGGGTTAAACCAGGTATCATTCCATACCCTGTCACTAAAAGACTATGTAACCAATAATACCCCTTTCGAAGTAGGGAGGGCATATTGTTTGTTGCTGTCTGTCGGTAGGTCTGACGGTCCACTTAGTTTTCGTTCATTTTCTTTACAACCGTTGCACATAGTGAATTGAAATTCGGTATACAGATATATCAGATGGATATTTACATCAAGTTCTGTTTTGGGTAAGGTCGCGCAATATTTGACAGAGTTATACCCTTTGGACTTAGAAACATTCCAATAATTTCAAGTTTCTGTTCATTTTCTTCGCATAGGTTGCACATATTGAATGAAATTTAGTATACAGATTTATCAGACGAATATCTAGGTCAAGTTCTGTTTTGTGTACGATCGCGCCATTTTGACAGAGTTATGCCCTTTTGGACTTTTAAAAAAATTATTGTGGGGAGAGGAAGGCATAAGTGTTTTACAAACGTCTTTTGTATTATTTTGTAGTTTCAATCCACAAAATTTCCACCAGAGGAAAGTCCACCTATGTACTGTTACCAATCAGCACGAATTGGGATTATGCTCAGGTGAATGCTACACATATTGACTGATAAGTATAGTATGTATATGGTCAAACAAGCATTTTTGGGGGGGGGGGGGGGGGAGGGGGGTATATATATATATATATATATATATATATATATATATATATATATATATATATATATATATATATATATATATATATATATATAGATTTCTTTTACAAATAGTACAGTAATAATATGCGGGTAAAAGTATATTTCTTAAACGAAATTTAATTATGTTGCATTTAAAACAGGTTTATGTCTGTTTATAAAATGTTTTTCTTTAGTTTCATGTTCTTTTTCTGTAGTTTCCCTTTGGAAATTGTAGAAAGGAAAAACAGTAAAATTGGGGGTTTTATTTTTGGCACAGTTTCTGATGTGTTCGCTTACGGCGGTACACTGGTATTTTGGTTCCCTAATTTGTTGTCGGTGTACGGTCATTCTGTGTCTCAGGGTGTCTCCTGTCTGGCCGATATAATTTTCACCATAACCGGCGCAAGTTATCACATAAATAAGATTAGAGCTGGTGCATGACATTGATGTTTTAATTGTAAATTCGCTTCCAGTTTTGAATTGATTTGGATCCCTCTGTCAGGTATGGGCAAGTACTGCATCTGGGTTTGTTGCATCTATTGATGATTGGTGGTTCATTGTTGTTAGAAGAAAAGGATGCTTTTGTAAGAATTGATTTGAGAGACGGACTTTGTCGTTTACTCTTAATGATCTGTGAAGTTTCTAATATTTTTTTCATGTCTGGATCATCCTCTAAAATGGGCAGATTATTTCTAATGATGGTGAAAATCTCTGGGTTTCTTGGGTTATACGTTGACACGTATGGTATGACATTATTTACCTGTTTGTTTTTTACTTTAAGTAGATCCTTTCTTTCTTGAGATTTTGCTTTGTTTATTCCGTTTTCAATCAATCGTCTAGGATAGTGCCTTTGAAGGAGTAGTTCTTGTAGTTCTGTGAGACGAGATTCCAAGATTTCTGCATCGGAAATTATTGTACAAAGACGTCTGGCTAAATTGTATGGGATATTATTCCTGGTGTGTCTAGGGTGACAAGAGTCAAATATTAGGTATTGTTTGGTATCTGTTATTTTGTAGAAAACATCCGTTATTAAACGGTTTTCTTTTTTAATAACCATTACATCGAGAAAGGATAACCTATTACTATCCGATTCCATGGTGAATTTCAAAGTTGTGCCAACTTATACTACACTTGTCCTAGGATTCTTAGAGGAAAAATTATATTTAACCGTGAAAGAAAAATTAGGGCAGGACTTTGAAAGTTTTATAAGGAAGTCGTGGGTACGCTACTTAGATGACTGTTTCGTCATATGGGACAAAACTGAGGATCAATTAATGAAATTTTTTAATATTCTCAATACCCTGAGCCCTACTTTGAAATTCACCATGGAATCGGATAGTAATAGGTTATCCTTTCTCGATAAAATGGTTATTAAAAAAGAAAACCATTTAATAACGGATGTTTATAAATTAAAAAAATCTTCTTCAATTAATTGAAAAAGAGGAAAATAGGAAATAATGTATATGAAATTGCCTGGACGTTTGTGTTTGATTTTAAAAGAGTTTGGAGCTTACGTTTGCTTAAAGAGTTTCAGCATCATAAAGTGACGAGGTGGTCACTTAGCAGCATCAGTATGGAAAATCAGTATTTAAATAAAATTAAAAAGTTAAACTGAAGACTTTTCGCGTACACTTCTTTGGCAATTTCAAGTTCATTGGGCGTAGTAGATGTTTTTTTAAAATTTGTTTTTGGACAGGCCCATCCAATGATATTTTAGATAAAGGTATTAACACATAAAAATAATGTATTTTCAGGTGTTATGTTCTGATATTGGGGGTTCTTTAGCAGAAATTGAAACTGAAGAGGAATTCACGTCCTTAAACTACACTCTGCGTGTAGTTAAAAAATTAAAAGGTACTACTTTCATGCCTAAAATAAATTTAATTTTTTTTATTATCTAAGCTAGGGGCATTTATTTACAGTGTAATAATTTATTGTTTTGGGGGCGGGGGTGGGTCTCTAGAACACTAGCTTTTCATTTGCATGTCCATCACATTTGAGTTATTGCAGCACAGAAACAAGATACTTTCAAGATTTTTAACTTTTCCAAGTTCCAGCTTTTTTTGTAAGGAAATTACCTATAAAAAAGGTATAATTACACACATGTAGAAATGCAATGCCCTAAAGAGTAACTGATATTTTTACATTGATACCATTCCAGTGAATTATGAACAGAAAGGCACTGGACACACATGGGAAACATTGTGGAAACTCAATGTTTAACTTTCAAGTATGATTTTTGCAGGAACTACATAAAAGATTCAGCAATCTAATGCACATGTAGGATTTCACAAAATTAAATATATTGGGCTTGCTTCGTAATAGTTACATGATAGCATGTGATGTTGTACACAAAATTTCGAGTTACTGCACGCGACTAGGCGTGAGCCTCAAGTTTGCCAACACGAAGCGATATATTGTATGCATCATCGAGCTGTCAGTTATATAACTGATTTATCCAATGACCCTTCATTTGATCTTTTCTCCACATTTAGTTTTTTCTCTGCATCAAATAAAGACTCGATATGAAACATAACGTTGTTATCATTCTTAAATATGATAGATTTAATACAAAGGGTGTTTGGTATCAAAGCAACAGATAACCAAATCTAATTCTTATAGTACTTTAAATACTGTATGAATTTTTTTGGCAAAAAAATTTATAGCATAACAAACAGTGGCATTGCATTTGACGAAAGGAGCAGGGGGAGTTCAGCTGAAGAAGGAATATTAAAACTCCGTTTTTTCAACAATACCAGACGTACCTGTATGATGAGTATGGTTTTCAACTGAGTCAAGCACTTATGTATTATGAATTAAGTCAATCAGACTTAAACCAAGACTTTTTGAATTTTGCTTTACAAAGTAAGTTCTTAGAAGCGTTTCAGGAATTAAAATAGGAAAACGCTAAACCTTTTTTCTACGGAATGGACTGAAAATACTATAATCGGAAAACCTATGTCAAACAGTGAAACAAGTGCGTGTCAATAACTTCAAGAAAGAGAAAAACTCGCGCCGAAACACTTTATGGGTAGTTAAAGTGTTCAACGACCGGAAAACTCAGCAAAATCAACAGCAAATTTGTGAGTTAAAAATCCTCACAAGAAATACCAAGAACATGCATATACTTAAATGAGTTTTGTGATTGAAGCCAGGCTTTCAGATGGTGCCCATACCCCCGAGGACTTGCACTTTATATTCTGTGGTACATGCAAGGGGTCGGTGTTTATGATTTGGACTTTTTAGATGTCAAGACTGTCCGTTACCAGAACTTTAGGGAAACTTTAGAAGCAATTGAAGGAAGTAGCAGCATCCCAAGGAATAGGAATGTTAATGAAGCCAGCGGATTCGTTAGCGTCCCTACAAGAAAACGTCCTGAGTGGAAAAATTCGGGAATCACATAATTCAACAAGATGTGTTTGTGAAACACTATGCGCCCGGCGGCAGAAAAATTCGAAAAACGCTATTTTTAGCATATAGGTCACAGTCGAGGTCTCGAGGTCATTGACCTTGGTTTCATTTGAAAGAACTTGATTAGTGGAGTATGTATACAAAATATGAAGTCTGTATCTCTCATGGTTCAAAAGTTATGGTTAAAGTTCAAAAAAGCTATTTTTAGCATATAGGTCACAATGAAGGTCACAAGGTCATTGATCTTGGTGTCACTTGAAAGAGCTTAATTTGTGGAGTATTCAAACCAAATATGAAGTCTCTATCTCCTATGATTCAAAAGTTATGGTGAAAGTTCAAAAAAACTATTTTTAGCATATAGGTCGCAATCAAGGTCAAAAGGTCGTTGACTTTGGTGTCATTTCAAAGAGCTTTATGAGTGCAGTATGCACATTAAATATGAAGTCTCTATCTTCCATGGTTTAAAAGTTACGGCGAAGGTTAAAGTTTGCAGGAATAAACTATTTTTAGCATATAGGTCGCAGTCAAAGTACAAAGTCATTGACCTTGGTGTCACTTGAAAGAGCTTTATTAGTGGAGTATGCATACCAAATATGAAGTCTCTATCTCTCATGGTTCAAAAGTTATGGCGAAGGTTAAAGTTTGCAGACAAACAGACAGACAGACAGACAGACAGACAGGACAAAAACAATATACGCCCCGGATCTATCGATCCTGGCGCATAAAAATTTATATTAACTCTGTATTTCATTTCAATTGAGATTTTTTTTTCACTTCGTGGACTTTACGAACACGGAAATTCCGAGGTATGTCAATCAAAATGTAGAAATTCTGATGCCAAGTCAAACATCAAATTTTGTGGGTGCACCTCAAAGAATTTTCCCGGTGGTATACTCGAGAGGAATGCTTGTAGAGAGGATGCGCCACTACTCATAAGCCGGTACACCTCGCAGTTTATTAGATATTTGTTCGTCACACATTTCGCTGTCGGTTGGGGAGAGGAACATTCTATAGATAACAACTCCTGGGACCCGTACCAGGTTTCGAAATACAACCTATTGAGATAAACAAGATAGATGCCATTTTTCAAGATCATGTCTACTGATACACGACCGTCGTCGCACGTCGTGCGTCGTGTGTCAACATTTGAACATTTGCAGCTTTTTCTCTGCAATCGCTCAACCAATTTCATCCAATTTTACCACAAAGCATCTATGGGTAAATGGAAACAAAAAATGTGAATTTCATGGTCCCCGCCCACTTAGAGCGTGAGGGATGGGTCAAAACCACTAAATTATTGCAAACTTTCAAAATCGTCTTCTTTATTCCTGGACATCAAGCAGTCAAACCTTGAACATGATTGTAATCACCATTGAGTCATCTATCATTAAATTCATGGCTACTGGGTCAGGGGTTTTAGTGCTAGGATGGGGCTAAATAGATTATATATTGAAAATGCATTAATTTTTTGAAAATCTTCTCTGCTCCTTTGCAAGAATTCCTCTTTCAAAATATTGAATTTCATGGCCCCAGGGTCAGGGCTTGTGGTGCTAGGGCCGGGCTCTATTGGTTATGAAAATGCATAAATTTTCTTGAAAATCTTCTTCTTTGCTCCTGGGTATTAAAAAACAAAACACCAAGTACATACTTATAATGAACAAGAATGGCTCGCCTAAAATTGTAAATTTCATAGCCTCTGGGTTCCGGGGGGGGGGGGGGGTTCTGGTGTTCGTACGGGGCTGTATTGATTATATAATGAAAATGCATTAATTCTTTGAAAAACTTCTTCTCTGCCCCTGGTATTAAACAAACTAACCAAGTACATAATTATAATGAACAAAAATGCCTCTTCCAAAATTGTTAATTTGACTTGAGTCAGTGGTTCTGGTGTTAGTGATGGGCTCTATTGATTATATACTTAGTGAAAATGCATAAAATATTAAAAATATTTTTCTCTTTCCTGGGTATTTAAGCAGTGAGCTATGTACATAGTTTTGATTAGGAAGGATGCTTTTCCTACAATTGTGAATTTCAGGGCCCCTGGGTGAGTGTTTCTGGTGTTAGGTCGGACTCTAATGATTATATTGTGAAAATGCATGATTTCTTTGAAAATCTTTTTGCTCCTTGGCATTATTCCAATGATCTAAATACTTATTTATAACGAGGATCTGCTCTTTAGTATTAATCAACCATTTCTGATGAAATAAAATTTATGATAAAATTTCCAAAATTTTGTTTAGAAATATGTGGCCTCAGGGTCAGCGGTTCCTGAGGAGTGGGGTGCACAACTGTTGGTTATAAGGTGGAAGTGCATTTTCTCTTTGTTACTCTGATTTACCTCTAGTAAATATATCTATGATACCTCTAGTATTAAGTAACCAGAGTAAGCATGATACATGTAAGTGTTCGTTATGATTTACAATGGTGCCTCTTTCAAATTGTGAATTTCATGGCCATTATGTATATAAATTTAAAATACAAAAAAAATTCAATTGTTAAAAAGTTGCCACATGATACTCAGGTGACCTATAAGGCCCATGGGCCTTTTGGTTTTCTTCTTGTTTCGGCTGGTTTGTTAAAAATTAGAAGCAAATTTTGTTTCATTTGCAAAGTTCCTCGTAAAGGGGGTCGAATAGTTTTATTTCACTATCTTTATATCCTTATGTGATATTTAAGATATCACCACACTTATAATGATATAAGAAGAATACCTCTGTGAAGATCAAATTAACCTAAAGAACAACATTAAAATAAATTTTAGCCATCGATTGATTGATTGTATGTTGTTTAACGTCCCTCTCGAGAATTTTTCACTCATATGGAGACACCACCGCTTGCCGGTGGAGAGCTGCAAATTCTGTCGAATGCTCGGCACTCAGGTCCTTTTAGCAGTGTGGGATCTTTTTTGTGCCAGCGCCTACTGCGACACAGGGTCTCTGTTTATACGGTCTCATCCGAAGGACCGGTCTCAACGTCCCACGGTGGATTTCGAACCCGCGACGTAATGATTGTCTCCTTACTTCGCGACTCTAGAGCAGACACTCTAACCATTGCGCCACGCGGGCAACTTCTTACCACAGAGGGAACAATACTAATACATGCATGTTTCAGGACTTTTCGGTTTAAGAATATTATTGACATCGATTCCTCATTGTCTTCTCAATGTTTTAACTAAGCTGAAATTCCATATCTCAATACCACTGTGTACAAAGTGCTAAATGAAAATGTACCGTCCGCCTGTCTTTCTCTCCATTTGTCTGTCTGTTCGCAAGAACTTAAACCTTGCCTAAATCTTTTGACTGGTAGGGGCTATGGCTTTAATATTTCACAGGTGTATTCCTTGTAACAAGACTTTTCTTCGGGTACAGGTATCATCAAATTTGACCTCTTGACCCTAACCTTGGAGTTTTGCACACTTTAACTCCAAAATTCCTAACTTTTACTTTATCCATAACTTTTGAACGTTTGGTGCTAGGACTTTTATAATTCACATACATATATTTTGTCCCAAGACCTTTCATTGATTACCAACAGTTTTGACCTCTGGACATTGACAGTTGAAAATGACCTACTTTAAAAAACTTTTACCTTGGCATAGACTTTTGAACGGTAAGGGCTAGGTCTTTCATAATTTACATATGTAATTCTTGTGACAAGACCTTTAATTGGATACCAACATCTGTGATCATTTTTCACCTTGACCTTAGAGTTTGACTTTCTTTAAAAAAAACATTAAAATTGGCAATAACTTTTTAATGGTTAGGGATAAAGCTTTCATATTTGTAACCCAGAGCTGCCTTTATGGAATCTTTGTGACAAGGCCTTTCTTTAGAAACCAAACAACGTTCACGTATGTATTTCTTGTGACTAGGCTTTACTTTGGGTATCAACATGTTTGATGTGAATTTGAAAAAAAAATAAACCTTTGCTTTGTTGCTTTACAGGGGGCATAAGTGCTTCACCAACACGTCTTGATCTTTGATTTGAATTATAAAGTAAAAACAACACACTTCGCAAAAATAATTTTCTAATCTCCAGCATATGCAGTTATGCATATAGTTTTTGCACTGTCCGTCCATCTGTCTGTCTAGCTGTCTGTTTGTCCTCAGAAACTTTAATTTTGTCCATAACTTTTGAGTGGGTGGGGCTATGGCTTTCATATTTCACAGGTGTATTCCTTGTGATGAGATCTTTCTTCGGGTACCACCAAATTTGACCTCTTCTCCTTGATCTTGACTTCATCTGTAAAATTAATCACGAAGAATCTCGAGAGAACGAACAGTATTCAATAACAAAGTCCATAAAACAATACAAAATAAGAGCAGAGGAAACACGGACCTCCGAAACATCAGAGGTGGGATCGGGCGCCATGGAGGAGTGAGCATCCCCTGCTGACCGGTCACACCTGCCGTGTGCTCCTTTTCATGATCGGGAAATAACGGAAAAATCCGTCGTCAATTCAGTGTATAAAAATGGACTAACAACCAGTTTGAAAAACGTCAGTCAGCATTTCTCTCAATGATAAATTGTATTTTCAGAAAATGCGAATAGAAACGCCTACTATGCATATTTTAAAACAACTTTGACCAAGAAACACATTTTAGAAGAAAAAAATCGTAGGTACCCAGGCTTTTGAAGAAATATGTATCTTAAAATAATTTTATGGGGTAAAACTGTAAAAATAAAAAAAAATAAAAATAAAAAAAAGACCTTTCTGATAACGTCAAAGAATCGTAAAGCAAATTGAGAGGTATAAAATGAAAATTGTTGCTGGAAAGTTAAAATTTTTAAGCATCGTTTTGAGACTTTTAAAATTAATTCATAAATTAAAGTTATCTTTTCTGGCTGAGGATCGAAGTACCTTGAAAGGAAATTTCTTTAATGCTTAATGAACGCATTTATTTTCGTTTCATTTGTGAAAAAATTCTAATAAAAGAGCTAAATACACACAATGTCTCAATAATTTTCGAAGAACCCTCGTATTGTTTTGTATGAGTGTTATGACTGTGTTTTTCTATTATTTTTTTTTTTTTAGGTTTTTCTTTACATCCTTTAATAAATTGTTAAATGACCGAACCAGTGACTTACGTGTATTATGTATTATAATTTACATTTATTCGCCTTCCAGTGTTATTTTATTTGACTTGTTTACAGAATTGTCTGAGTGTATAGTGAAAAAAATAAAGTATGTGTTAATTTTTTTGTTTTTACAAAATCTTATTTTTCTTAGAGAATATTTAATAATCATTATTCTTTGTATGACCCGTAAGCACTACACGAGCAGTGTTTATGAATTGTTTTTGTATGCTTGATTTTCTCTACAATGCTCAAAAAGTATAAACAATGAAGACTAATTATTATAGTTGAATGAAAAACGTAAATGAAAAAAGAACTTCTTTTCTCTTTTCAAATTAATATTTAGCTGACTTATGGATTGGCGGTACGGATAAAGATAGAGAAGGTGTTTGGAAATGGGCTTCTAGCAACACACCTATAAAGTTAACGTTTTGGAGGCTGGGTGAACCAAACAATTCTCAAAATAATGAACACTGTCTGGAAATGCAATTACATAATGGATATTTATGGAATGATAAAAATTGTGGAAGTGACCTAAGATTTCTTTGTGAAATTTTGCAGAATAATAATTAATTTTTTTCAACATGTTTTTCCTTCAACGAAAAATATTTTTTGAGTTAGTATATTCTTTTTTATTTACTCTTTTATACAACATAATACATTTTCTCGTTGTTTTTTTTATTATTATTATTTAGGTACATGTATTATAATTAATAGATGATTAACAAAGTGGGAAAAAATGCATTATTCATGCACACACATATGATTAAAAACGTGATACAACTACTTTCAATTTGTCAAACAATTACAGTTTATGATATGACCAAGAATAGGAAAAAGCTTCCATATTATTTTATAATTATCGTTTAACAGAGGAAACGTACATGAAGTTTGACCACTTTATTAAAATTAATATTTCATTGAATGTTTTCAAATTTTTAATTTTCTGTCTGTATTTTATATTGCATGACATAAGCAGTTCTGGGTGGATTATTGAAATGAATACATGACTATTTGACACCATGTACTTAGTTATAATTGAATTAGCCATATTGCTTGTCATCTTATTTTAGTGTGCAACCCAGTTTTCCATCGGTAAAAAAAGTAATTGATACATGTATATCTAAAAAAAGGTTCACCTTTTGTCCAGATAACTTCAATAAGGTTTTTATAAATTTTTTAATTCCTTTTTTTTTTTTTTATTTATTTATTTATTTATTTTTTGCTTTGCGGAACATTTGTATATATATGAGACTAGCTTGACACTTGAACTAGGTTTTTCTGATGATTAAAGGAAATGGATTACTGCCGTTGTAAGAAGTATTTTATTATTAATATTATTATTATTATTATTATTATTATTCAAAATAATGCTTAAAAGTCGGAACATACCTCCAAACACCTTATGCTACAGTTTTCAAGACGCAGCACTTCCTATACTCGATAGCTGAGAGACTGCACATTTGTCCTTCATGATGGCTGAATTGTCGTTTTTAATAAGAAATTAAGCATATTTAAGCTATCTTTAAGTTATTATAATATACGCAACATCATTAAATAAGCATTAAACCAACTCAAAGGCTTTAATGGATGCTTGATGGTAGCTTAATTGCGGGAATGTATCATGCTTGTTTTTGTCTATTTAACGTAGGTCGCGGGTTTGCAGGGCTTTTAAAAGTGTTCGAAAACATACCATGAAAATTACCTATATGATTTCTCTACCTTTGATTTCCATTCTCTGAAAATTTTATAAAATTCGTCTGCATCGTTTTTGTGTGATTGAATTTCAAAGATGTCATTGTTGTAGTAACATTTTCAACGGTATTCTATTGAATTCTATAGGAAAAACGTCGTTTTTAGCTTGTTTTCAGGCAAGGTTTTGATTTTAAAAAATATCAATAACTTTTAAATCGTGCAGACGAATTTGTTTATCCTTTGGTATTTAAAAATAGAATTATTTTGAAATAAATCTATGTGAAAAAATTAATTTGTTTTCGGGTTCATTTTTTCGCAATTTAATTCAGGGACGTAGCATTCGGGGGGGGCCAGAGGGGGGCCTGGCCCCCCCCCCACTTTTTTCCCCAACATAGCCTTTACTATAGTAAATGTTCATTGAGAGGGTGTTGCCCCCCCCCCCACTTTATAACCATAGTATAGGGATAGCAGGGATTGTAAGGAAAAAAATTGGAAGAGATAGTAAGTTGGCTTTGAAAAAGTTGGCCACTACCCCCCAGCCCCCCACCCCCCCCCCCCCCCACGAAATAGGAGTTTCGAGTTTGGGCAACTTTTAATTTTGGTTTTTTTTTTTTTTTTTTTTTTGCTTGTCAACTTTTTAAGGTGAGTAAAAAAAAATTTTCTCAAGTTGGCCCCCCCACTTTCAAAAACGATGCTACGTGCCTGTAATTGAAGATAATTGCTTGTATATTGAAAAATGTAGCATTTTTAAGAACAACGTCATGAAATATAGCGACGTCACGCTTGACGTCGTGAATATCTATCCGGTATACAGAGCAAAAAATATATATATACTGATTTTAAGAAAAAGGAAATTCATGTCTATTTGCTTTCAATTTTTTTTCAAATGACCTGTATCATAATAAATCAATAAAATAATAATTAGACATTTTCTCTTCAAGCTTATTACGTCTAATATTAGTGAAAATTCTCGTAAATTTTATAAATAGGCACAAACCAACAATCAGTCCTTTGGTTCCCTTTTTTTTTTTTTTTTAATATTTTCCTTATGTGTTGATTTCTTTTCGTTTCTTTTCTTTTTGTTTCGTTTTCTTCACAGGGGCCAGTAACATGCTAAATTTGAATTTACGTATTGACTATATATACAAACAAGTAGAGCTTTTCAAAAAAGCTTACCGTCTTTAGCAACAATTTTAAACAGTAAACAGATCTATACTTAACAGGCCGTATAATTCTTTTGAATTTCTTGATTTTGTATTTCTAAATTAGCTTAAGCTTTTTACGGGCATTAGCCCTACCACGGTTGTCGCTCGGTCATCTCCGTAAACTTTGACTGGCCGAGAGCTTTCGGCAAACCTCGGCTGATTCCCATTCACTCTCTAAACAAGAAAGGGGAAAAGAATAATAACGAATTGTAAAGCCTGCAAGCAATAACTATCAAATTTTATTTATAATGAAATTAGAGAGACCCTTTTTATTTATTGCTATAAAAAATATCATGTTATTAAGAAATAATTACTGCTGATTTTGTTGTTCGTTTTGTCATTTTTTTAAGATTGGAAATCTTGCAAAATTGTTAAGTCGTACGATAAATAGATCATCAGAAAGTTATCTCCCTTGCCTTGAGCAGCATTTCAACCAATGAAATAATTGAAAATTTTCTCATCATGCAATTTCTACCAATCACAAAAGAGAGGAAGTGCATAGTCCAAAGACTGTAAAAAACTTCAACTATACTATACCGTCTTCCAAGGAAGACGGTAAAAAGATCAATACGTAAATTCAAATTTAGCATGTTACTGGCCCTTGTGGTTTTCTTTATGCGCGGATTCTCGCCGGAATTTTCAAAATAAGAGTGACCTTGTATTCCATTCTGGAAAAGGCAGCCCCCCTCCCCCTCATCCCCGTTGAAATCGCAGATCTGTGATCTAAGTCTGTTTGAAAAGTCGTAGGTATGAAGATCTTTTAGGAGTCAAGGACAACTAACACCCCCAATCCACCCCACCCCACCGAAATATGTTTTTACGCTTTGTATATATCTTTTTTCTTCAGAAAATTCAGCAAGGCACTCAAATCAACAATAACTTCTTATGAATCAATTTCCGCCAGATATCCTCCCGAGTATAAGTATTAATGCATTCAGTGTATATATTGAACATTTTTTATTCAAGTTTACAAATTTAAGATGCAGCGAATAACTAAAATAAATCTTAACTTGCTTTTATTTTATGCTTATACGTATAAGGATAGAGAGAAAAAAATGTACAAGGGATTTTTAGAGGAGTAAATGGGACGATAATTTATAATAAATTTTATTTGGCGTAATTAACAGTCAGATTTTATTTTGTTCTAAGACATTCAATGTATACTGAATAAAGATGGAAAGCAATGCAGCGAATAAAATAATTATGTACATGTAATTAACGAACAACAACGTATGCCGTTACTTACACAGGCAATTGAGGTATCGAACCCCCACCCCACCCCTTTCTGTTTTTTGGGGGGTTTTCCTTTTTTTTTTTGATTTTCAATACGTATTGCATGTTATTAATAATTTTACCATGTTATCTCTTTACGCTGTTTTTAAATACATGTATTTCGTTTTCGACTGATACATAAAAAGAGATGGCTTGCAATTTGTTTTTTTATTCTCGACGTCTGCCTCACATAATCTTCACTTGATCACAATCTAAAGCGTAGGGAATCATAGAATATGCAGACAGTCACATCAATAAACTTGAAACACATTCTTCTTCCTTTACAGATTTTCATCCATTCTTTATGTGCCTCTGATTAGTTAATATTTCGATTAAATCAATATGCACATATAGGGTGGAGTTAAAATACAAAAATAAGAAAAAGTTTACTCATCCCCGGCGTTAGCAAGTAAAAAATGGAAAGGAGGGAGGGGGTCATATTCTACGTGCCTGTGGTTATTTACAAGAGGTGAACTCTTTCAATACCTACTTCTGTCAGTACCAGTTTTACACTACATTTTTCTCACAGAAAAAGTTGGGGGGGGGGGGGCTAACCTTTCAATGAACATTTCCTGTAGTATAAGTAAGGTTGGGGGAAAAAGTGGGGGGCAACCCCCTCCCCCCCCCCTGTTGCTACGTACTTCATCTTTTTTTTATTTTGCTCTTTGTCCGAGATTAGCACATACCGTTTCATAAATGAGTTCGATTTTCCATGGACGAGCAGAGTTTTGACGCTGTTTACGGAGATAAATGAAAACAATCACATTCATGCCATATATTGTTGTGTATATAAACTATCGTAGAAGACAATAATATTAAACACTTTGTTAGTGCATTTGCTCTGAAAGTGTAAATGAGTGTGTTTCTGAGGAGGGGGTACCGAGTGTAATTCGGAGTTCGATACCCTGTTTTATAATTATACATATTTAATATTTATAAATCATACGATACAAGGTTAAAATTTATTTCCGAAACAAGTACATGTTTATGTATGTGCTCTCAGAATAGAACCGAGAAGATGCGATTAATAACACATAATGAAACGCTTTCAGTTTCTAATACTTTCAGTGATGGTCATTCGAATCAAAATGAGCCTTCATTATTTTTATACAACTTCTATGGTTTTATGAATACTGTTACACAAAACTACCAATTTCAACAGTTATAGCTGAATTTTTCCATTTCTCACCGTGACGTCATAATCAGATGTGCACAAGAATGTCGCCCAAATCATATAAATTGCGTACCCAGTTTTAATGACGTCAGCAAACCCGCGACCTACGTTAAGTAAGTACATGTACTAAACATCCATGAATTCTATTTTAACTCATTTCGTAAAAAGTTCAGGAGAAAAAGAATAATATTACTATATTGACAATAATGAATGATCCTTGTAAGAAAAATAATAAGTTGTGGCATGTATTATATTTTGTGAAAAAATCAGGGAATCTTATATGTTTGTCACTAGAAAATTTAGAATGTGTTTG